ATCACGTTCCTCGATCTGCTGGCAATGCCCCTACTTAAACAGCCCAAAATGCCGTCAGCCGTCTTGGCAACAAGAGCACACTGTTGACTCATATCCAGCTTCTCGTCCACTGTGACCCCTAGGTCCTTTTCTGCAGAACTGCTACCTAGCCATTCGGTCCCTAGTCTGTAGCAGTGCATGGGATTCTTCCGTCCTAAGTGCAGGACTCTGCACTTGTCCTTGTTGAACCTCATCAGGTTTTTTTTGGCCCAATCATCTATTTTGTCTAGGTCCCTCTGTATCCGATCCCTACCCTCTAGTGTATCTACCACGCCTCCTAGTTTAGTGTCATCTGCAAACTTGCTGAGAGTGCAGTCCACACCATCTTCCAGATCATTAATAAAGATATTAAACAAAACTGGCCCCAGGACCGACCCTTGGGGCACTCCGCTTGAAACCGGCTGCCAACTAGACCTGGAGCCCACACCAGCAATGCATGCTGGGAGTAGCAGTACCCTTCTCCAAGTTCCAGCTAGAGTCAGTTCCTTCCCCACGCCACAGCCCATGACAATGAAAACAGTGGATCCTGGGCTCCCACATTCACTCCTGCAACTACAGTACCAGGGATGGTTTCTTCCCTTGCCATTCTGCGTCGCAAGGTAAGGACAACAGTCACATTCTGCACTTATAGACACTGGTGCCTTGAACAGCACAAATGCGTGCACTCAACACCTTAGAAGTGTGTGCCAGGTGTGCATTGCTGTTTACCCTGCACTTCCAACTGTCTCATCTTGTGTTTTATGTTTCACTGGTTTTATGGTTGCACTGTGTTCTGCCCAATAGAGATTGTATTATTTGCACTGTTTGAAGTTCACAGAAGTTTCTTATTGACACAGGTTCAGTCCATGTGTATAAAACTACACATATGGCACAGTCATAAAATCGATGCACAAAGCCTAATAAAAGCCCGACAAACGTCCATTTCGTAAAGTCATTATGCCCAGCCTGACACAGTGTGTAATCAACGTTCATGTCACCATTTCACCCTGGGCCCTGACGCTTTGCTGTAATTGGCAGACACTACCTCTCCAGCTGTTCCTAACATTCCAAAAGTCTCTGCCCCTTCACCTCTCCGCCATTAGTGAGGCTCCACACTGGGCTTGCACAGATTGTGCCTGACTCAGCAACCAGCCATCCCACCAGGCAGATACTGCTCAGCAGCCTCCATCTCTTGCCACCAGACTCCTCTGTTTCCCTTTCAGCTTGCCAAATGCACACCCCGTTGTCATTCTGCAGCTGCTCCAGAGAGAGTGAGACAGCTCTTTTCTCCAGTCCAAGTGCACGGGAAAAGGGGTGGTCAGTCAAGGAAGCAGAGGGTGAGCTGGGTCTCCCAGAATGACAGGGGAATCACAGAACTGTTGATGTCCAGAGTGGCCCTGGGAGCAAAGTTTCTCTTTCTCATTACAGGAAACAGGCTAAAGGGACCATGGCCCTTTCCAGACCACCCCACTTTAATATTGGCAAATCTGCCACGGTGATCAGCCAAGGCCTTGGAGCACCCTGGAGAAATCCCCCTTTCTGTTGATGAACTCTGAGGCCTTGTGTGGGGCTCAAAGAATGGGCACATGTGGGTCCCATCTATGGTGCCAATACAATTTTGGAACCGCAACTGTGCAGATCCATCCACAACCTCCTGTGCATTGCCAAGCTGTCTGACCCAGGCATCAGCCTGCTCTTTTAGCAGCACACACCACAGTGCGCCTTGCCATGAGAAGAATCCTGATGGTTGATCTACTAACCCCAAATTGGTGAGCTACTGACCAGGGATGGCAAGCTACAAGATGGCGATGGCCACACACTTTTTCACATCACGGGGAGCTCTCCTGTTGGTTTGCCACCACTGCCACTCCAGGGTGAGCTTCTGCACAGATCTTTAGGAAAGTGGCCTTTGTCGTCCTGAAATTCTGCCCTTGGTGGTCATCCCAGATCTGCAGCACTGTCCCATCCCGCAGTCAGGGATAGTTGGCCAAGCCCAGAAACAGCAGTTCCCCGAGTGAAGCTGCTCCAGGAAAAGTTCAGGCACAAGTAGCTGCTTGACTTCATCCTCCTCTTCCTCCCTTTCCCAAACTGGCTCAGCAGCCCAACGGCATCTCCCAAAACCAAACCATCTGGCTCTGCAGCTGCAAATACAAGTGCAGCAGCTGCTGTATATTAATGATTGCCAGGATCACCGTGTCCAGCACAGTCCCCTCCAGGCTGGCTGATGAAAGACAAGTGAATCATGGGAATCATGGGACCCCCAAGTGGATATCCCACAATGCGCTGTGAGAAAAATTCCAGAATTCATAGACCCCGGGAGCAGGACAATGCTGTCAGAATGCTGTGCGCTTATTCTGAAAAAACTCAGTGCTGTGTGGGCACACTGATTCCAAGGGGCATAGGTTAAAGCTGGCCATGTGGACCCAGTTATTTTGGATTAGTTACTTTGTGAACATTTATACACAAACATATGTTCTGCTTGTGAACTGTGGGCAGAGCCGGCTTTAGGAAGTGCGGGGCCCGATTCGAACAGTTTTGATGGGGCCCCGGCAGGGATGACTGAAAAAAAAAAAACCACGTAAAAAAACATGTGGGGCTTGTTCTCACCGGGCGGCACTCATAGTCTTCAGTGGTTTGTCCTTCACTCGCTCCGGGTCTTTGGTGGCACTGAAGGACCTGCTGCCGAAGTGCTGCCGAAGACCCAGAGCGAGTGAAGGACCCGCCGCTGAAGTGCCGCCGAAGACCCGGAGCGCTGCCAGGTGAGTAAAAATTAAAAAGGAGCCTCTAGCCAGGGAAGGGATTCTCGGCCACTTGCCCCCACCCCGGCAGCCCTGCCACTGGGCGCGGGGCCCTCTTAGGCGCGGGGCCCGATTTGGGGGAATTGGTGGAATTGGCCTAAAGCCGGCCCTGACTGTGGGTCCTCCTTGCCTTACTCGGCCAATTAGAAACTCCCTCTGCTTGTCAGACTGCATTCAATGGGGCAGCCTGGAACTCGCCTACTAGTCAACCTGCCCCATCCAAAAGGGAGCCAATGGGAGCTCCGTCTCCCCGCCCAAAAAAACAAGCTGCTCTTGAATGAATTAGGACAATGCACATCCATGTGAAAGACACTTGCTGTGGGCCCTTGGCACCTGCAGAGCTTTCATCCAGCATGGGAGAGAAGGGATCCATTTCCAGGAGCCACTCCACAGGTGCAGGGCTTAGAGTGGACGTAGTTTCCAGTGCGAGCGCCCTGTCCTCTGCTTGCACAGGGTTCTGTGCAGTTGACCTCAGGCCTGGCCTCTCAACTTCTATTAGGCAAGATGAAGCCTGATGGCTTTTGTGATTTCTGACCCATGCCTGCTGCGGGGTGCAGTCAGGGAGGGAAGGAAGCCAAGTTTGGGTCCATGCCAGCTGGGGTCTGCGGGGCTCAGATGTCAGACTGTGATGCCATGGAGTGTTCTGCTCTGCAGGAATGGGGAGGCATGCCAAGGGTTAATAGACCTGGTTTCTCAAGCATACTGCTGGCCTCATGGTTCCTGTCCTCCCAGCAGTTTGGACAGTGCGGGGTGAGAGTGAGGAAAAACGGAACTGGATCTCCTTTTGTTTTCTTCCTTGTGGCACTGGCTGCTCTGGAGGATGAGGCAGGTAACAAGTGCTCTTAATCCCTCGATGCCAGGAGAAGGACTACGCTGGCTAATCAGGCTCCTCTATCCTGCCACTTAAGCTCTTTAAAGGGTTAGCTTTGCTAACCAAATCCTCCTCCTCCTCCTCTCCCTGCTGCAGCCAAATCCCTCCCCTCTTGCGTCTTGGTGGGCCTGCCTCTAGAAGGATCAGGAGATCTCTGCTCCCAGCCTTCGGGTGATGCCTGCTAGGTGGGTGCCAGGAAAGCTCACAGCAAGCTACCCTTCCCCACCCCCCACAGTGTTACAGCATCTTTCTTATCCTCTCTCCTGAGCCACTTGCTCGCTACACCTTTCTCCTGCTGATGCTACAGATTAATCTGGTGAGTTCTCAGCCGTTCCCCTCTGGCACATTCCCAATCTATTGCCTGTCCCCTGTCCCCAGAGAAGTTGGTATTTCTCCTAGATGGCTGGTCTGACACCTTGGCCAATGCCCCAAGGTCACTACTCAAGCTTAGAAGCCCTGGGGCTCACTCCAGAGGCTAGTGCAGGATGCTCAGACAAATCCTCTCCCTGGTTTCTCCAAACCCGGCATGCCTGATGGTAGATCCGTGGGGAGCTGTTGGGGAGAAGTGAGCAAAAGGAGAGAGGATGCCCTGAGAAGAATTTAAATTTGTGTCCCATCATGGCCATTTCTTGCTCCATCGTTTGCTACTAGTTCTTAGGGTTGGATGACAGCCACTGTCTTGGCTGGCACCAGGGACCGCCAGA